CCCCCCCCCCCCCCCCTCTCCCCCTCCCACTCCCACTCCCAAAGTAAAACGAGAGAGGAAAAAGGAAAAATAGAAAAGAAGATCTATTTGATTCATTGGCAATGTGTGCCTGTTAAATATTCCATTCTGCACGCCTGTTTGTATATTGTGAAATAATAACCTCCTTTAAATGGCAAGATTCGTATTTCGTTGGTATCAAGAGTTCCTTTTTCAATTGTCTGATGTTCTAAAATGTTTACTTTATGATTGTTTTGCAGTCATTATGCTTCCTGTCTGGAATATCTAGGAAATCTTAAAGCAAATTTGTTGCTTGACATCCATTTGCATGACCATGTGGAGACCTTGTACGAACAAATCCGTAACAAAGCTCTCATCCAGTACACACACCCATTTGTCTCTGTTGATCTGCACATGATGGCGAATGCTTTCAACACAAGTGTTGCGAGCTTGGAGAAAGAGCTTGAAGCTCTGATTACTAACAACCAAATACAGGTACTTTTGGGCTCAGTCTGTGTCTTCACTCGGTGTTCGCTCTCGTCTGGTCTGGTCTGGTCTGGTCGAACTGTTAACTTTTAGGTAGTGGTTCAACGTCATATGAAGTGGGCAGGGGTCATGAGTTTTAATTCTCGTGCCATGTACTTGTGAAAATTGTGCATGTTCTAGGTGACATTTATGAAAAATGAACGTGTGATAGACTAAAGAAATAAAAAGTGAGGTAAATATGCAGTTCTCTTAATATCCGGCTAAAAATTTTCATGATTATATGGCATTTTCTTGCAGGCTCGAATAGACTCGCATAACAAAATTCTTTATGCTCGACACGCGGATCAAAGGAACGCTACATTCCAGCGGGTCCTGCAAACTGGCAATGAATTTGATCGGGAAGTAAGAGCCATGCTTCTGAGAGCAAATCTTATCAAACACGAGTTTAACCTCAAGGCATCATCACGGAAGCACTGAAATGTATATTTGAGGGCTTATATGAACGGTAGAGTTATGTTGATACGGGTTTTAGGAGAGCCAATGTCAGGATGTTTCACGTGTAATGTATTCTGAATAGAAGAAAGCAATATGGCTTCTAAGCCCATGTTTCTTATATATCATGTGACTTTATTAATAATCATTATTTTAGAGTCAAGTACGTACAAATTGCTCTATGTATCTGATATAAAAGCAATAAATACGTGGAAGGGAAGTCCAAAAACTGCTAAAAATGATTCTAAGTAGGGTCTAACGCTTACAAGAATGCTACAAAGCTCTTAAGTGACTATTTATTGCTATTTGTGTCATTTCGCTTATAACTACTCAAACCTCCTTCGTGAAAACTAAGTCCATTACCCCAAAAATAAGACATTTTTGAATAATACTCTTAAAATTAATTAAAACATTTAATCACGTATTTATGTTCAAAACCCCAAAGCAAAATTCAAAACCCTCTATTCCAGAAAACTCCCAAACCATTGCAGCAAAGCTTCTCTACTCTCTGCTCTAATACTGTTTGGATGCTTCAAATGAAACATTCAATTGGTGGTCGTGAGTAAGACCAAGCTAGTTGTTGGAAAAATTATATGATAGATTTGAGCGATGACTTCAAAAATAAATTTGACACATAAACGGTAAGGAAATGAGTGAAACACCAAAGAAGAGAATGTATCGTCACATGAAATGTATGCAGAGTCGAGACAAGACTTGAACTCTTTGTCCTTAAGTCGAATTTGCCTCGCAACGGTGCCTATGAATGATGGCAATCAACTCTCAAGATATAATGACAACCTTCTTGTTTTAATAGCACTTCAAAATACAAGAACAACGAACCAAAAATTGGTTTTTGTACTCCTTCAAATGAAAAATGAAAAAACAACTTTTATGCAGGATTTTGGCTAGGAAAATGATGAATTAAATGTTATGTTATGATTGTATATCGTTGGAATGAACAAATGGACATCCAAATGATCTAATTTATAGAGAAGAAAATGTTGTGAGTGAAGTGCCGCACCCCAAACTCAGCAACCTTTGCCAAGGATCGCGACATTTGCTATCGCTAGCCTATCGCTCTTGCGTCGTTCGAGCTTCAGAAACAGAGATTCTGTCACTCGCCAGCCGCTCGAGCGTTAAGCGAGCGACGGAGTTGGTCAAATTTTCAGCCAATTTCTTCTCTTTTTTTCTTCCAACTTTAGATCGTAATTTCTCATTCATCTGAAATTGGTTTGGAGATTCCAATTATACCACGACGATTTACTTGACGAGTAGAACAAGTTAGTCTATTTATTTCCATAATTTGACTATCGAATCACGTCCAAATATTTGGTCGAAGTTGACACGTTAGTCATTTTTTGATGATTTTATACTCAACTAATTCCAACACCAGTTTCCCTTCTTCGCCAAGTCTAGATGCTGACACCACCGCCTCTTCGGCAAGAACGTCCAAGAAACTCGTCGAGAAAGCCCCTCGGGTTCACTTTTTATGTGTACTTATTGTGTATATGTTTAGATATTATTTTGTGCTTTTTCTGGTAAATGAATCATAAGAAGAAGAATTGCTTTTAAGCGTGTTACATTGATTGTCTAAAATCTGGAGATATTGTTTTAATCAATTGCAATTGCCAGATGATATATAGTGACATTTTATTGGGAATTTGCAGAGCTGTAGATTGAACTGATTATTTTCTTGATGGCTTATTCTTACCAGATAAAGCCTTTTTGGATTTGAGTATAAAGAAGTGAACTTTTTTATCTTGTGCTATAAGATAGTTTTTGAAGAGTTAGTTGTAATATTTCTTGTATACTGAGTTTCTATACAACTTATATGATAGTTTTGTCAAGAACTCTTACCAAGGTTTGGGGATGTGGACTTGATTATCAATATATAATTGATATTTTTAATTTGGGAAGTTGACTCTACTCTTTGTAGTTGCATAATTTTCCCTTTTTGAAGGTGTCCTTTTCCTTTTGCACAATGATCGAGTTATAATTTTATTGAGCAGAACAACTACAATATTGGTATGTAAGGAATCTCCAAAGGTAGCACCAATTTTTGGTGCAAAAGCTCTTCAATGTGGCACCAAAATTTGCACCGTTTTGGTGCAAAATGGCGCAAAGTTAAATTTACCCTTTTTCTCCACTTACCAAACTAGTCGATGGAGGGTATTTGTGCCATTTGTGTTATATATTTTTTAGTACAATAAAATTTTATTATTATAATAACTATTATCATTATTATTATTTGCATTTAAGATAAATTTTAATAATGTAAAAAATAATAATTAACAAATTAATTAAAATTGCACTTCGAAATGCATTAATCGATTATTTGTGGAAAGAACATACAAATTCTGAGAAATAAATTTGCAACACTATTTCGACTTTATAGTATAATAATATCCGAATTCAAAATGTATTGCACTATTTTTTAATGGTATTATTTAATATTTTATTTTTTGTAGTGTTTCTATTAATTGTACTATATTTATATATTTATTAATGAATTTAATATTTTCATTAATTTAACGTAATTATTTATTTAGTAATTTATGTATTTGTAAAATAAATAAATAAAAATTTCAAATAAAAAATTATTAAAAATTTAAAAAAGAGAAGAAAATGATTAAACACTGTTCATTTGGTGTAAGTTTTCTTGATTTTTAGTGNGTTCATTTGGTGTAAGTTTTGGTGATTTTTAGTGTAGTACAAGATTTAGTGTAAAATAGTTCAAAACTTGTCTCAAATTTTGGTGCAGGGTTGGAGAAAGCCTAAGAATAAATTGCTCAACGACGTTCTCGTGTCCAAGATTGGTAGAATCGTAGAAGCTGGAAATGGATTTGGGATCAAAACATGAACACAAATATTTTTCATCAATGGAATCTGGTTTTGCTAACCTTCAAGAGATCTTTTATTTTTTTGTTAGGGTATCTATTACTACTAGTCAACGTTGAATGTGTATGAAATGGTTTATAAGTGTTGTAAAGGTAATATTTGAATATATGTGAATATTAATTAGTTTAGAATTAATGCAAGTGAACATATACGTGATAATAAATGTTAAATCAATTATTTAATTTTCAATTAAGTAAAATTGAATGTTTATTAGCATACATGGACGTGATTAAAGAAATGTATTCTTGAATGTGAAATTCTAATTAAATTATAATTAGAATTAATAACACTTGAATGCATAAATGAAGATGAATATTAATTAAATGAATGTGAATGTAATTAATTGAGAATTAGTAATAGGAAATTCATACATTAATAAAAGCATGCGTGTGAAATGAATTTGTCAAATGTATATGTACATTAATGGTAACTAAATTGTTAAATAAATTAAATACATATTGAAAAAGAAAAGTAAGATGTTAATGAAATAATTGAATTATAGTACGATTAGAATTGTTCCAAAAATGATTTTTACTTGATGTGATATTTAATATATTATAAATAGGTGGGCATTCAACTTCTTGCACAACTTTATCAACAGTTAAAGTGGCCTTGCCTATTGCAAGAATCGAAAAGGCCGTTTTATAGGGTTTTGCTTAACCAAACTAATGTTAAAGGCAGGCCCAGTCCTGCGGCGAGGCGAATGAGGCACGCGCCTCAGGCGCAAAACTGAAGGGGGCCTATTTCTCACCCAAATCATTTTTTTTTTTTTTTGCAATCAGGCCCAATATCGAATGGGCCTCATCTATGGCCCAATTATAAATTTTATTTTATTTTTTAATTACAAAATGGAAAATCAATTTTCATTCTCTCCTTCAACCCGACTCCATCCATAACGTCGACCGTCGATGCCGTCTCTTTTCGACCGATGACCAATCAACCTCGTTGCCACTCTTCGAGTCCTCCTTTCCTTTCCTTCCCTTCACTCTTTCACAAACCACAAGTTTCACACATTCACAACATTTTTCAACCCTAACGACCTAACCGCGTGAGTCACGACACCGCGACTCCCCAATCCTCCGGCCAGTCCGCAGTCGCCACCTCCACGCTCCAGCCACTCGTTGACATTTGCCTAGTTGGAGGTAACTGTCCAAGTTTCCAATAGAGCAGAGCTACAGTGCAAAGGTTTAAAATCGTTTAATTGATTTAGGATTTTGGTTAGAATTCTATTTTTCAATTTTCATGGAAGGGAATTAGGGATTTAATTTGGGAGGTTTGGATCAATTTTTGTTGTTGATTCCTCATCCCTGCTGCCTGCTCATAGTTTGGACCAATATTATCACTTTTGCCAAAAGCTTCAGATTCTAATTATAGACTTATCCCCTTGACTGCAAATTAACCTGATTAGTCATATATTTGGTATTTCATAGACATAATGTGTTGCCTTAATATTTTCCCCTTTACTGCTCATGACTTTGATGTTGATGACTTTGCTTTTGATTCCTTATTTCTGAATATTTCTTTTCTTATGTGATTTTGTCCCAATGAAATGCTAAATTTTTATCTCGGGCTTATGAGATATGACGGCGGAATTTTTAAAGGTGTGAATTGTGATTCCACAATTTTCGTCGAAATTCTGTTGGGAATTTACTTTATCATGCATAGCGGAAATAAAACAATTTTCAATTCTCACCAAGGATTTGCAATGTGTTTAGATATAAATTGTGGTAAGAATTATACATTTGATGAATTCCACAAACTCCTTTGCTTTTTTCTTGAACTCCAATGATCACGATCTGCAATCCAAACTGTCCAATTGTCCCGCCTTTAATGGTCCACACAGAGAACAAGAATGACGGCTAAAGTTTTATTTTCTTGTACTAGCAAGAATAATAAAAATTCTCTACAATTTACAAACCCTAACAGCCTATTAATATTAGCCCAAGTGAGCTTGGCCAATTTCTAAACTTAACTCGATCTGATATTTAATTAATCAAATTAATTAAATTCGGTCCATGAATTAATTAATCCAATTAATTAATTCGGGCTTATTAATAATCAATCTAATTAATTAATTATTCAACATT